CACATGACACAAAATTTTGGGGTTTCATATCCTTAGGACCAGATTTAAAACTGTTACTTACATCAAGCCATGAAATTCCTATTCTGCAAAGTCCTTTCCTCGTGAATTGTCCTCCAAACACCTCGAATCTATGCATAAATAATTTGTTTCAGTCAATAAAATTCATTGGAATTAATTCCATAAGAAAATGCTAATTTTCCATAAAAATCCAAAATTTAGCTAAAAAATCGCCCGTGGGGCTCACATCTCGGAACCCGACAAAAGTTAAAAAATCCGGAAGCCCATTCAACCACGAGTCTAGCTATGCCAATTTTATCAAAATCCGACCCCAACTCGACCCTTAAATCTTCAATTTAAATCAAGAGGGTTTTCAAACTTTTCTAACTTAATTCACCAATTAAATGATAAAAGCAACCATGGATTCAGGTAATTTAACTAATATTGAAGTAAGAATACTTACCTCGTTGCTTTCCTTGAAAAACTCCCGAAAATCGCCTCTTCCTGAGCTCCAATCCGTCAAAATCTGAAAATGGGATGAAGTCCCATTTTCAGAACTTAAACTCTCTGCCCAGACATTTGCTCTACGCGATCGCGGACTTTCCCATGCGATCGCGATGTACAATATCACAGACCTACGCGATCGCATCCCTAACCACGCGATCGCGAAGCACAAATGCGTGATTTCCATTTCTACCCCATTTCCTCTACGCGAACGCAACCTTCTTCACGCGTTCGCGAATAACAAACTCACATAGTTACGTGATCGCGTCCCGCTTCACGCGAACGCGAAGCACAAAATATCACTGCCTCAAATTAACCCTATATGATCGCAGATATCCCCAAGCGATCGCGTAGAACAAAAACCTCCAGTGACCAACTAAGCCTACGCGATCGCAGACACATTCACGCGATCGCATAGAAGGAAAATAGCATCAGATATCAGAAAATTCCAGCAGTTGTTCAAGTCTAAATTTTTGATCCGTTAACCATCCAAAACTCACCCGAGCCCCTCGGGACCTCAACCAAATATACCAACAAGTCCTAAAACATCATACGAACTTCGTCGAACCCTCAAATCACCTCAAACAACACTAAAACCATGAATTACACCCCAATTCAAGCCTAATAAACTTTGAAATTTCTAATTTCTACAAATGGCTCCGGAACCTATCAAATCACGTCCGATTGACCTCAAATTTTGCACATAAGTCATAAATGACATAACGGAGGTATTTCAATTTTCAGAATCGGATTTCGAATCCGATATCAAAAAGTCAACCCCCTGGTCAAACTTCCCAAAAATTAAACTTTCGGCATTTCAAACTTAATTCCACTACAGACCTCCAAATAATTTTTCGGATACGCTTCTAAGTCCAGAATCACCATACATAACTGTTGGAATTATCAGAATTCAAATCTGAGGTCTTTTACACATAGGTCCACATTCGGTCAACTTTTCTAACTTAAATTTTTAATTATAAGACTAAGTATCTCATTTCATTCCGAATTTCTTCCTGACCCGAACCAACTAACCCGATAAGTCATAAAATAACTATAAAGTATAGATTAAGAAGTAAATAGGCGAACGGGGTTATAATACTCAAAATGACCGGTCGTGTCGTTATAATATACAAGGATGTTTTGGTTTGCAGAATCACTTTACTACAATCAAGCATGGCATTTTATTGTAGCTACTTCGGAAACACTTGTGTATAGTACAATCCTTGATCTGGATAGGTACCAAAAATATTACCTTTTCATTCTGAAATTATGTTACTTCTAGACTACATTGCAAATTGCGGTCTTATATTATTTGTCCTTTAATCACGTTTTTTGTTGTTCACAAATTGCAGAGTATTTCTTGCAAACAAGTACTATTCTTTTAGAGTTAGTCGATATCCTTGATGAAGAATGGATCGGAAAGACAGTTGTAAATGTTGATGATTTACTGGAATTCATCTTCTCGAGTAAATCACATATATTCTTTGACGTTGGATAGGCTCCATATGCTACTAGCAGCTTTTGTGGTACAAGATTCTAAATAGACTATAGCCTTCAATAGAGCAGACTATAGTGAAATAGTTCTAATCCAATTTAACCCCTAATAATTGAGGTACTTAAAAATTTTATTGATGGTAATTCAAGTAAGTTCATCGATTTATGTGATCAACGAATGTAGAAGCATACTTTAAGTCCTTGTGGATTAGTAGGAGTATTGTTTTAGTCTATCTTTAATTTTTTTTGGTTGTCAGGTAATTTATTAAATGAAAAAGGGTCATTAATGTCCCTAACGTATTGAAAATGGCTCAAAAATGCCCCCAGTTAACCTTTGGGACTAGAAATACCCTCAATATTTTTTTGGGGTTCAAGTCTGCCTATGAGATTTAACAGATTAATCATGCTCAAATTTACACTTTAAATTTTTACGTGGCACGTTATAAGTATGCCACATGTATTAAACAATAAACAAAATTAAAAATCTTCTTAACAAAGATACTCGACCCGACCCGCTGACCCATTTAACTAAAACCTAAAAACAAGCAGTAAGTCAGGATAAACACACATACACATTCCTTCTTCCTGAAAAGTCGAATCAGATTCAACTTGGACATTAGAGTTGGATCAGATTCACACCCAATCTTGTCAACATCATAAAATTGCGTGTTAGCTTCATACTGAAAAGTCGAATCAGATTCAAGTTGACTTGAGTGACTAGAAGACTAATTAGAAGACATATTTAATCGAGGAACCGGAATATTTTGCTGAAGAATAGTCGCTTGTTTTTAGGTTTTAGTTAAATGGGTTATATGTATTATGGGTCAGCGGGTCGGGTCGGGTATCTTTTTAAAGAATTTTGTTTATTGTTTAATACACGTGGCACACTTATAATGTGCCACGTGGAAATTTAAAGTGTAAATTTGAGTATGACTGGTCTGTTAAATTTCATGGGCAGACTTGAGCCCAAAAAAAATGTTGAGGGTATTTTTGATCCCAAAAGTTAACTAATGGCATTTTTCAGCTATTTTCCATACGTTAGGGGCATTGATTGCCATTTTTCATTTATTAAAAGGAAGTGGCAAGCCGTGGATATATTAGCAAACCTAAATGAGTTAGTTAGTTTTTCGCCTAATCAAGAAATTAAAATTTTTGAGGTTAATTTTTCTCCTTCTTCTTCTTCTTCTTCTTCTTCTTCTTCTTCTTCTTCTTCTTCTTCTTCTTCTCCTCCTCCTCTTGGTGCTAAGTTTTTAACTCATAATGAGGAACAAATTTTTTACCGATCAACAAGAAGACCAAATATTTCATGGTCAGACACTTTTTTAACAAGTCACTTGGGATTGGTAGTCCTTGGCAACAATAATCAGAGACAACCTGATGAAATTTTTCACTTTATTTTTTGTTTTAATTGTTTTGATTGCGATCGATAAATTTAATCTGTAATATACATATGTTTTTATTATCTCTCTCCGCTCTTTTTTTCTTTGAATCGATCCGCGAATCGCGCGGGTACGTATACTAGTACCATTAATAAATTGAGACGAAGGGAATCAGGGGCGGAGCTACAGTAGTGGGTGCGAGTTCGGGCGAACCCAATGACTTTTTCCGGAACCCTATATTTGTATTGAAATATTTACTAAATCTATATAAATGTATACTGTCGAACCTAGTAACAAAAGGGGTCTTGGTTCAACGGTAAGAGTTGTGAGTTCGCCGAAAAAGATAGAGGTTCGATTTATACTGAAAGCAATATTTTATTTTAAAATTTAGAACTCACACATTTTAATTCCTAGCTCCGCTAGGGAATAGTACTATTTTGGTCACAACATAGTCAAATGCATGGATATACTCCTAGTAGCCTTGAAAGTAGTTTAGCTGCAGAAACCATATAAACGTTCTTCTCCGTTTCCCTCACAAATCACAATTAGGAATTGTCACGCTCTATGGGCTTCAGCGTATCATAAAACCCCTCTAACTTCTCTTCCCAAATATGTATCAGTTCGACGCCGTAAACAACCGCAGCTCCACCGTCTACAACCATAGTACCACCACCGTCTACAAGCGTAAGCTTGATCAAATAGTTTCCTCTGAATACTTGGCCCCTTCCCCTATCAGAATGCGAAAAGACCAAACTCTCCCTCCCTCTCCTCCTACTCCGATTCAGTTCTTCGTCCGTTTGTTTCCCGGAGTCAAAACGCTAGTTATCCGAGCGCATTCTACGGACACTATGGAATTCATCCCCTATAAAATCATGACGATCACAGGTATCCCCGCAGTCGAGCAACGGCTAATTTACAGGGGAAACATTGGCGGGCTGTGGTATCCAAAAGGACGAGAGCATGCAGTTCGTTGGTCGATTGCGGAGCGTAGATAATCCTCAGGCGCGGCAGCTCATCAATGGCTTAATTTCATTTTAATCTTTGATATTTTGTAAAGCAAAAATCCTTCGATTCCTCCGGACTCGGATCGTATAATAAGGATGCTTATAGGGTTTTTAACAATGACTCCGAAGGATACTATTGAAAAAGCCGGCGAACATATCAAAATATTCATCTCCTCGTCGGCTCCTACAGCTCTGGTAATGCTTTATATGTCTCCTAGTGCTAACAAATTTACTGCTGATAAATCTGTTCGTTCATTTATCAGTTCATTTAAGAGTATGTTGCCTAAGCGCATATACGTTTTATGTACTCCTATAGTGTTGCAATTTTGTAAGCTTCTCAGAGGGGCTGCTGGACTAGATGATTCTTTGTATAAATTTTGTCGGAGTAGTTTAGGGGATATAGTTGAGTCCAGTGGTATCTTGAGGCGCAAGGCTACTACGGGGTTATTAGCATTGAAGGACGAAATTGTTTCCTCTGAATCCTTAGTCCCTTCCCCTGTTAGGATGCTAAAAGACCTAACTCGAGTTCAGTTTTTTGTACGTTTATTTCCCGGAGGCAAAACGTTAGTTATCCAAGCTCATTAATTCTACGGACCTTGTGGAATTCATTCACTATAAAATCATGAGGATCACTGGTATACCCACAGCAGACCAACGGCTAATTTACAAGGGAAAGCAGCTCCACTCAGAGCAAACATTGGCGAACTGTGGTATCCAAAAGGACGAGAGCATGCAACTCGTTGGTCGAATGCGAAGCACAGATCATCCTCAGGCGTGGCAGCTCATCAATGACTTAGTTTCACTAATCTTCGATATTTTGAAAAGCAATTATCCTTCGGTTCCTTCAGATTCGGATCATATAATTAGGACGCTTATACAGTTTTTAACTATGACTCCCGGGGATAATATTGAAAAGGCCTATGAACATATCAAAATATTCGTCTCCTCGTGGGCTCCTGCAGCTCTGGTAATGCTTTATATGTCTCCAGATAATGCTAACAAGTTTACTGCTGATGAATCTGTTCGTTCATTTGTTAATTCATTTACGAGTATGCTGCCTAAGCACATATGTGTTGGATGTGCTCGAATAGTGTTAGAGTTTTGTAAACTACTGAGAAGGGCTGCCGGACTTGATGACCGTTTGTATAATTTTTGTCGGAATAGTTTAGGGGCTATAGTAGACTCCATTGGGATCGCAAGGCACACTAAGGAGTTATTAGCATTGAAGGATGTTTTTATGTTTGTATGTGAGGTAGTAGTACCTGAGTTATCCCATGCTTTAGAATTGAGTAAGGGATCAATTGAGTCTACAGGGGGGTTAGCAGTGAGCATTGTGCGTGATTTTACTGAGTATATGCTTGCACTAAAGAAAGTAATACGGTCGCAAATATTATTTGGCACCAGTGAAGCAGTGTGTGTCAGAGAATGTATTAAATATTTGCATCGTATTTTATATGATTTGCTAGACAAAATGGAGTTGTGTTTAAAGAAATTAGAAGACCAGTTGGGATTGAAAGAGATAGGAAAAGGCAAGCCTATTGTACCCTGGTGGTCTCAGTATCTTGTAATTCTGAAGGAGTTAAATAGCATTTCAAAGCTGTTTAAGGGCTTTGGAGAAGGTCTTTTGGCAGAAGATGAGGCAAAGAAAGGTTTCACTGTGTTTTTTGATAGTGGCATCTGCAAAAAGATCTAACGATTATCGGTGGGTTCTTGAACACAAGGAGGCAACCAATTTTGAGGTAAGGAGACATTTCGCAATGATGATGCTTCTAGAAGTTATCTATGGAAACCAGGCGCTGCATGAGATGCTTATTGGCAGGTCCCAGTTGTTGGAAGAATCATTTGAGTACATTAGACATGCAGATCCTGCATTGCTGCGGGGTAGTCTTTGTCACCGCCCAAAATTACACCACAGACGTCATGATAACACTTAATCTCTTAAAACTAGGTAAGCCGATTATAATAACAATTCAAGCCATTTTTTAAAATAGATAATCGAATTCACATGTCGAAACCAATAGCGGAAATATTCAAACAATCTCCTAAGACTGATAATACTAAGTCACGAACTCTAACGGAATACATGGAATGTCCTCGAGGACCGGATGTACAATATTGTTCGAATAAAAAATTAACAGTACAATAAAAATGGAAAGACTCCAAGGGACTGCGACGCCCAAGCAGCTCTACCTTGAATACTTGCGATTACACTTTAACTCTACCCGAGTCCGATATCTCCAATACCTCGCTCTGCACAAAATAAAAGTGCAGAAGTGTAGTATGAGTATACCACAGTCGGTACCCAGTAAGTATCAAGACTAACCTCAGTGGAGTAGTGACGAGGTACAGTCAAGACACTCACTAGTCTAATAACTTGTACAATATAGTATTCAAAATATAATACTACCTTCGTTCTAATTTATATGAACCTGTTTGACTGGACACGGAGTTACAGTCAAGACACTCACTAGTCCTAAACAAGTTAAAAAGGGTCCCAGAGTATTTGTGTGGTTATAAAAGTTTCTCATTAAGGGTAGAATTATAAGTTTAAGCAAAATTATTTCCAAATTTAGAAAAGGGTCATTCTTTTTGGAACAGACCAAAAAGAAAATAGGTTCACATAAACTGGAAGGGAGTGAGTAGGAAACAAATAACAATGATGACAACACTAATCAACTAGTGATATACACAGCAGGACAACAAGAACACCATTAATATTGCTCAACAAATAATGAATACAAGTACAACAGATTAATCAATTCCTTCAAATATAAATCTTTCGCATATATGCTTTTCAAATTATACTTTTCAATAAATATATCTCGAATATACTCCCTTCAAATAAATATCTTTCAAATATAACTCCTTCAAATAAATCTCTTTCAAATATAATTTCTTCAAATAAATATCTTCAAATATAATTCTTTCAAATAAATCTCTTTCCAATATAATTCCTTCAAATAAATATCTTCAAATATAATTCTTTCAAATAAATCTCTTTTAAATATAATTCCTTCAAATAAATATCTTCAAATATAATTTTTTTCAAATAAATCTCTTTCAAATATAATTCCTTCAAATAAATATCTTCAAATATAATTCTTTCAAATAAAAGTCACCATTTGACACCTCATTTAACTTTCCTGGTGTGAGAAATATATTCAATATATCACATCAAATGGCACGGCAATACCTTCGTGCACTTATCTCATTCTTACCCAATGTATATATGAAGATCAAATCAATTGGCACGGCAACACCCTTCGTGCATTTGTCTCTTTCTCACAGTGCATACATATAACAATACCAACTAGGTGAGAGAAATGGCAATAGCAACAAAAGAAATAAAATGGGAGGCACACATGAAGCAACAACGACTACAAGTCACATAGAAAACGTAGGTGCACAATAACATCTCAAGATAAACGCCTAAATAAATATACAACAAAAAGATATCACAATATAATGTATGTCTCTTATCCTCGCCTACACGGAAACACCCTTCGTGCCATGAACATATGATAATATAAAAATAATAGCACAGCACCACCCTCCGTGCATTACACTCTCAATGGCACGGCATCACCCTTCGTACTTTACACTCTCAAATGGCACAGCATCACCCTTCGTGCTTTACACTCTCAAATGGCACGACATCACCATTCGTGCTTTACACTCCCCCTCACATGATAATATAATTCAAATGGCACGGCATCACCCTTTGTACTTTACGCTCTTAAATGGCACGGCATCACCCTTCGTGCTTTACACTCTTCCTTACCAAGCACATGTATATCGTTAACAAACAAGGTAGGAAGCATAAATAACATCAAGGAGAATGTTTAAACCACAACACAATACAATAATTCATATCACAATTTTCCACTGAACACAACCAAATTCCAAATATGCAGCAGAATCAATAAATTTCTCAACAAATAGCCTAAGGCTCCACACATGTCTCGACTCGAAATTTCCAACGGACGGGACCGTGATGGCGCCTAACATTTCACTTGCTAGGCAAGCCAACGTTATAGAATCATTAACCAATTCCTTATTTTCATTCAGTAATTAATAATAAATAACAAAGATAAAATGTAATAAGTACGGAATATCATAAATCTGTATAAACTACTACCACCCGGATCTGGAGTCGCAATTCATGAGCATTCTAGAATTTACTATAAGTAATAGTCAGAAAGAAATATAACTGTCTGAATGAAAGAAACAGTAGAACAGAAAAGATAGATGGGGACTTCAAGGTCTGTGAACGCCGACAGATCTACCTTGAGTCTCAGAACAGCGGACCAATGGCAGAATCTCGATCAAACTGAGCCGCTATCAAAATCTGCACAGAAAGTGCAGAGTGCAGTATCAATACAACCGACCCCATGNATCAATAGAAACGGTATGACTTCACCCTTCGTGCATTAGCATTCATAATATGGCACGGCATCATCCTGCGTGCATTACACTCTTCCTTACCAAGCACATGTATATCGTTAACAAGCAAGGTAGGAAGCATAAATAACATCAAGGAGAGTGTTTAAACCACAACACAATACAATAATTCATATCACAATTTGCCACTGAACACAACCAAATTCCAAATATGTAGTAGAATCAATAAATTTCTCAACAAATAGCCCAAGGCTCCACACATGTCTCGACCCGAAATTTCTCACCGACGGGATCATGATGGCGCCTCACATTTCACTTGCTAGGCAAGTCAACATTAGAGAATCATTAACCAATTCCATATTTCCATTCAGTAATTAGCAATAAATAACTAAGATAAAATATAATAAGTGCGGAATATCATAAATCTATATTAACTACTACCACCCGGATCTGGAGTCGCAATTCATGAGCATTCTAGAATTTACTATAAGTAATAGTCAGAAAGAAATACAACTGTCTGAATGAAAGAAATAGTAGAACAGAAAAGATAGACGGGGACTTCAAGGTCTGTAAACGCCGACAGATCTACCTTGAGTCTCCGAACAGCGGACCAATGGCAGAATCTCGATCAACCTGAGCCGGTATCAAAATCTGCACAGAAAGTGCAGAGTGCAGTATCAATACAACCGACCCCATGTACTGGTAAGTATCGAGCCTAACCTCGATGAAGTAGTGACGAGGCTAAGGCAAGGCACCTACAAATTAATTTGTACAATTTAACAGTGTATATACAAATAACAGAAATGAAGAACAAAACAGGAAATGTTGGGAGGGGAACATACTGAGGGGAATACAAGATAAAGAACTACAACAGAATGATCACCGGAGCAGTCAATATACCATGAATC